TGAGAACCAGGTTTGATTCCCCACTCCTCCATAAATTCCTTGCTATGGTGGGTTATGTACTGCAACAAGTGCACCCTACAGGAAATATAGACCCTCCTTGGCCACCATAATATTGTTTGCCTGGTGGTACGCCCTGGGTGTGTATTTGCACACAACTGGCACACTCCAGTTGTAATGGTTAAGTGCGCGGAGTCTAATCTGGGAGAACCGGGTTTGATTCCGCACTCCTCCACTTGAGAACCAGGTTTGATTCCCCACTCCTCCATAAATTCCTTGCTATGGTGGGTTATGTACTGCAACAAGTGCACCCTACAGGAAATATAGACCCTCCTTGGCCACCATAATATTGTTTGCCTGGTGGTACGCCCTTGGTGTGTATTTGCACACAACTGGCACACTCCAGTTGTAATGGTTAAGTGCGTGGAGTCTAATCTGGGAGAACCGGGTTTGATTCCCCACTCCTCCACTTGCACCTGGCTGGATGACCTTGGGCAAGCCGTAGTTCTGACAAGAGCTGTCCTTGAAAAAGAGCAGTTTCTGCCAGAGCTCTCTCAGCCCCACCTACCTCACAGGGTGTCTGTTGTGGGGAGGGGAAGGGAAAGGAGTTTGTAAACTGCTCTGAGACACCTTTGGGTAGTGAAGGGTGGGGTATAAATCCAATCTCTTCTTCTTCTTCCACATAAGGGGTCCAGGCCCCTCATTGCCATATCAGGATCACACAAGGCACAGGAGGAGACCTGAGTGTTTGGCTTAACTTTATAGGAACTTTAATGAGTCAAGTATCATGACTTGGATTTCTAATGCTACGGACCTGGAAACCCTCCACTCAGGGCTCCCTGAGACTTCCCTAATCTGGGTGGGCCTCCTTGAATGGCACAAGGGGCATGGTGCCTTACCACAAGGCAGGGTGGACTTAGTTAGGCATAGATCAAGCAAAGTGTTAGCATGGGTGGTCATGTCTATGGGAGGTTGTATCATTGGCCATCTTGACATCAGTCACAGGCAACCTGCCCTCTATGGAGCTGATGGGGTCTATTTATCCAAGTGGGACATGGATCTGGCTACATGGCATATGGGATATATACCTTGGTTGGTTACAGGTGTAGGAACATTAGTGGGAGGGGCTCTTGTAGTGTTTGGAGCACTGGGATGGATCATTTTGGCTAGGGAAGTGGCGCCAGTGTGCCCACATCCCACATTCTGGGGAATCCCTTAAGGGATCATGGGGTGGAGCCAATTCAATGGCATGTCCAGCTCAGGGGCTGTAAGTGGGGGTCTCACCACCAGTTGGCAACAAGAGCCATACAGTGCCCGGTGCCCACATGATTCCCTGTGGTTTGCCACTCATTGGTGGCACTCCCAGCAAGTAGGCTGGGCTGTGGGGTTCACTGGTCAGCAGGTGGGTCATCAGATGCGACACCAATGCTCCTGTGGTGTATTCAATAACGTTGTGGCCTTTTTTGCACACAAGATTATCAGCAGTCCATTGTATCATTCCTCACCTGTGCACCCTCTCCACCTTATGCTCCTGGGCCCCCAAGCAGTAGTTAAAATACGGGGTTGATTGTTAGTATACTCTATTATTAGAACAAAGACAGTTGTCACTGGCTAATAGTCAACATTGCTATCTTTTCCATTCACCTCTTCTAAGTCCCTATTATTCTTCCTGGTTTGTATTCTGATCCCCCCCCCCCATGGAAAATCTGGCTGGTTTTAACCCAGTCAGAATTACAGCATTACAGACAAGGTTGAAAAAAGAGGAGATTTGAAGAGGTAACTGGAAAAGGCAGTGGCGTTAAACATTACTTAGTGCCACCAAGTCACAACTGACTCATGGTGATCCCAACAAGAGACTCCCATGGCAAGTGAAAAGCAGAGGAGGTTTGCCATGGCCTTCCTCTTCAGAACCTTACTTGATGGTCTCCTATCCAAGTACATTCCTGTTAAGATTTTGAGATCTGACAAGGTCAGGCGATGCCATGCCACCTCCCCTCCCTCACCAGTCCATTAGCAAATGGCAATCTTTGTTGTTGTTGTTCAGTCGCACAGTCGAGTCCGACTCTTCGCGACCCCATGGACCAGATCACGCCAGGCCTTCCTGTCTTCCGCCGTCCTCTGCAGTTTGCTCGATTTCATGTTCGTTGTATCTATCACACTGTCTAACCATCTCATCCTTTGCCGTCCCCGTCTTCTTTGGCCTTCCGTCTTCCCCAGCATCAGGGCCTTATTCTCCAGGGAGTGCTCCCTTCTCATTTGGTGGCCAAAGTATTTGAGCTTCAGTTTCATTATCTGGCCTTCCAGGGAACAGTCAGGGTTGATTTCTTTTAGGATTGACTGATTTGATCTTCTTGCAGTCCAAGGGACTCTCAAGAGCCTTCTCCACACCCATAGTTCAAAAGAATCTATTCTTCAGCGCTCGGCCTTCCTTATAGTCCAACTCTCGCAGCCATACATGACTACTGGGAATACCATTGCTTTGACCATTTGTATTTTACATTTCTCTATAATACTGATTGGGTTGAATCCAGCTAAGAGTTTTCATTCATGCTCTCGCAGTTCTCCTCCTTACTACAGTTCCCATCCCAAGTGGCTTTTGTACATACAGGTCCCATGATCTCTAGCGTAGCCTTTTTGGGTAGTCAAAGGGGGCTCCCTGCTTCCTGTTCCAGCAGCAAAAAACCTGGTTGAATCAAATCCACTCGAGTTGCCAGCAGACCGGGAGAAAAATAGAGGATTACAGCATAAGAATAAGCATTTGAAGCTTTTTGTGGCATGGAGGCAAATAATATCTCCTGGTATGTAGCAGCCCATTAAGCTTCAATTAAAATTTATTTTATTTATTTTATTTCATTAGAATTATAGCCCCCCCCCTGCAGAACAGGGCTCAGAAGAACTGGAAAGTTGGCATCCCTACACTTTCTTTTACAATCCTACAATCCCTACATACCTGCCTTTCCCCGTATATACCCCAAAGAGCACTACGGTCTGGGGCACAACATCGCCTAGTGATTCTAGGCCCCAAGGAGGCCCGACTTGTTGCAACCAGGGCTAGGGCCTACTCAGTGGCAGCTCCTACCTGGTGGAATGAGCTCCCGGAGGAGATCAGGGCCTTGCGGGACCTCACACAGTTCCGCAGGGCCTGCAAGACGGAGCTCTTCCACCAGACATTTGATTAGGTGCCGACACTACTACCATCACCAACGAACCCGGCTGATAACTGGGAATGGAGTGGCCGTAGGATGATCACATTTCAGTGGTGTGGCGGATCAGTACTGTTGTATGAGGATGGAGGCAACATCTACTGAACACCATCTTGTCTTAATTTAAGAGCAACAGCATTGAGCACTTTATGTAATTTTTGGTTATTTACTCTGTTTTATCTTGTTTTATTTGGTTTTATGTATTGGCACATGGTGCCCCTGTTTGTTTGCCGCCCTGAGCCCATTTGTGGGGAGGGAGGGGGTAGAAATGTAAATAAATAAAAAATAAAAATGAATACAATTTAGTGGACATCACTGGTTGAAATATATAGACACAGTGTTTTAGAGATGTATACATATTTTTAAAAATGTGAATAATCACACTATACAAGGGTGCCTATGGCGTAAGGAAAACTTTGTATAAAGCTCAATATCCCTCATGTTAAACAGGCAGTATTCTGAATCTGATCCTGTAAGAAAGGGAACTAGTGAAAGTGGTCTTTTTTCTTCTTCCCCGAGAGTGCATGTGAAGCAATAGGACATTGGTCCAGCCCAGCTAAGCTCATTGTTCACCCTATTGGTTTAATGAGAGAGATTAAAGCATGTGCTTTCCTTTTCCTTCGAAATCAAAGGGATTTTAAAAGGGCTGCGTTCCCATCACTTTTTACTGGAAGCAAACTGTAAGGAGTCCAGCATAGACCACGATGCCAATGGAAATTAAACCAGTTTGAAAATATAAGGCAATTAACAGAACATTCTATGTGTTGCCATGTCTGATAAACCCAATAGTCCATTTTCTTAAGCATCCAATTTTTTTGGAGTAGCCCTACAGATGCCCTGAGAAGTGGCTCGGGACTTTAAAACATCAGAGCAGTTGGGCTTTATCCTTATGAGCAATTGCATCTCTAGTCAGCACTCTGGTCTTGTAGAATCATAAGGCATCTTCTAGACAATTCGTACCCTTAAGGTATGCATGACAAAGGGACAAACACCTCTATGTGACAGAATGATGGTTTTATCTCTTTTGATACTGTTGTTCTCCTTCTTTCAAGAGGTCATCTCTTACTACTATGGTCAGCTAAGTGTAGAAACGCCCTTTAAAGGAAGGGACTTCTCTGCCAGAGAAAGGGTCCCTATTGGTCTGTGCTAGAATCTAAATGTTCCTTTGACCTGGATGGCCCAGGCTAGCCTGATCTCATCAGATCTTGAAAGCTAAACAGGTCCGGCTCTTTCTAGGGCTTGGATGGGAGACCACCAAGGAAGTCCAGGGTTGCTATGCAGAAGCAGGCAATGGCAAACTACCTGTATATGGTAAACATATACCATATACAGTTGACATAAATGAGCTGTGACCAATGTTCCCTCTAAGCTTTGGAGTCTTGTGAGCAAAAATTCTACTTTGTGAGCTACTGGCATTAAAGCTGTGAGCGAGCGATGTGGCTACTGTATAAATTAGTTTGCTCTGGAGCCATCCTTCCTGAGCTAAGACAAAAATGTGTGAGCCAGAGGCTAAAAAACTGTGAGCTAGCTCACACTAACTCAGCTTAGAGGGAACACTGGCTGTGACTCAACGGCACCTTTTACCACCAACATCTAAATGCAGCTTCAAGAAGTTCATTGAAAGTATAGAAATGTTCAAGAATTTGAATTGTTGAATCGATGAATATAAATTTGAATACATACATCAGTGAGCTTAAGATATGAATGAGAATGAAGTGACCCGGCACTGAAATAAGCAACACTGACCCACTCTCTGAAATCTTACATTACCGTATCTGTTCCCAACCTTTTTGTCCATTTTTAAAATCCACGTTTCAACAACCGCTTCTTATAGATCATACTTCTGACAGCCTCTTTCACCTCCAAATTCCTTATGGTGTATATGAAAGGGTTCAGCATTGGGGTCAGTACGGTATTCAAAATGGCTACTACCCTGCTTGTGTGGGACAAAGCATGCACATTCGGCCTCACATACATGAAGATGATAGCTCCGTACAATATGGAGACCACCGTGAGGTGTGACGTACAAGTGGAGAACGCCTTCTTGCGCCCTGCAGCTGAGGGAATGCGTAAGATGGTTGTGATGATGAAGATGTAGGACACCACCGTTAAGGTCAAGGTTGTAATAACAAGCATCACAGAGCTCAGCAATCCCAAAGACTCAATGAGCTGAATATCGGCACAGGCTAAGCTTAAAACAGGCCCAATGTCACAGTAGAAATGATCGACAACATTGGAACCACAAAAAGGCAACCTCCACACAAAAAGGGACTGGAAAAACATAATGCTGAATGATGAGTACCAGGTGGCCAAAGTCATCTGAATGCAAACATGTCTGGTCATGATCATTGGGTACTGAAGTGGCTTGCATATGGCCAAATAACGGTCAAAGGCCATCGCTGTGAGGATGAATATCTCAGTAGTGCCCAAGATGAAATGGAAGAAGCCTTGCACCATGCAGCATACAAAGCAAATGGTGGTCTGTCTTTCTATAAGTGTCTGCAGCAGCTTGGGGACCACAGTTGTGGTGTAGCAGATCTCTAGGAAAGCCAAGTTGCTCAGGAAGAGGTACATGGGAGTCTGAAGTCTTGGCTCGATGGCTACAATGACAAGGATAAATCCATTCCCCATGATGGTTGTGATGTACATGAACAAGCCCGCAACAAAGAAGACTCGATGGAAATCATGTAGAAAGGGAATGCCCAGAAGGATAAATTCAGTTACTGTTGATGAATTCATCTCCTTCATGATAGCAGAAAAAAACAGTCAAATCATGTCCTGAATATTTTCAGGAATCATTATTTGACAGGTTTCAAAGCAAGAAAACAATATATGCTGAAAGTCAACGTTATTAACAATTGCAAGCATTACCTTTTTTTACAGTGGCATTCTGTAGAAAGCTTCAGAAAATAATGCAGTAGTGCTTGATTCCCTCATTATAATCTCTACACATTTTAGGTATCAATCCGTGATGCACCTACAACTAGCAGCTATTTTTTCTTTCTTTTCTTCTCTGTCAGCAAGACAGGATCTTCTTTGGAATTAATAACTTTTGGGTGGGTCATTTTATCTCCTTGATCTTCCAAGGACCCAATTTGTCCATATTTCAATAATTCCTCATGAGACATTTCTCCTCCAAATAATTGTTAACGGAGTCTTTTAATATTAACTAAAACTAAGGGAATCTTCACCCACCTTTCTCTAACTGAGGTTTCAGAACAAAAGACACTTCAATTATTATTGGATTCTCTAAGGAAAGACTTCCTAAGAGGTAGTGTTCTCCCATATCAATTATCAAGATTCATTAAGTATTAGAAAGTTTTTGAAGATTACCGGAAAGTTTGTGCACACATTTATGGAATTCATGGCTCTGAGTAAATGTGATATGTTGGAAATTGAGGTCAAAATGCCCATCTCAGTCATGTGGAACATTTTTGCTATGATTTAGAAGTCATTGTTTAGTTCTCTGTGTTTCATTATCTGTGGCAATGAGATAATTCACTGATTTATAGTCCTACTTCCTTATTTCAAGAATTAAGCAAAAATGAATGGAATGTTTCAAACAATAAACTGATTTTTAATATATATATAGGCTACAGAGAATGAGTTGTACATCTTTTTCTCTGATTGAGCCAGCATGAGCAATCTAAGGCACAGAAATGTTCACAAAAGAGTTTAATGACCAAAATCCTGTGCCCAAGGGGTTACATTTTAGAGTCTCTCTTTTTAAAAACAAATAGTCTTGCAGTCACCAGTGTGGAATTTTAAGTCCTTTCTGAGCAAACAAAGCAACATTCTAAAATATTGTCTCTGAAGAAAATATTCAGTCAGAACACATTGGAACATGTACTGTATTCAGTCAGACTATCCCTTACATGTTTTTAGGATGCCTTGTTGTGTCATATGTGAGTTAAAATAAGGTTTATTAAATGTTATTTTCTCCCTAAGTTAAACTGTAACATTATATCTTTCCTTCATATCAGTGTGGTTTCTTTTAGCAACAGAAAACTGACTGGAATAGGAATGAAAGGTGTAAACAACCTTGCGATCTGGTTATTGTGATTGAGGGCTCCCCAGTCTAGTAGGGGTGTGCATAATGAAATTGCTGAGCTGAAGGTATACAGGGAAATGGCTGGTTTGGTTGATGATTTTTTCAAAACACTAATACAAATCTTGGCTTGTTGGTATAACAAAAAACCCCACTCTGATTTTTTTAAGGTTTCAGTGCCTACCAACCATGCAGCACGAACCCTTCTTTTTGTTTGATTCCACCGATTTCCTGGACAATGACATTTCCCCCTTTCAATGAGATCCTTGCAAGGAAGGAGCACAGAGTGCTTCCAGCCAATCACCTTTCCTTCATTCATTTCTGTGAGGTGGCAGAGCCCTATATTTTTTAAAAAACTGTACCTGGGAAGAAAGTGAGCTAAGAACAACTTGTTCAAGGGCCTATATATTCAATACCTTGGTCCAATTTACTTGAAACTTGGAGTTCTTCATAAGAACATAAGATAAGCCAATGTTGGATCAGGCCAACGGCCCCTCCAGTCCAACACTCTGTGTCACACAGTGGCCAGAAATACCAGGTGCCATCAGGAGGTCCAGCAGTAGGGCTAGGACACTAGAAGCCCTCCCACTGGTGACCCCCCCAAGCACCAAGAATATAATGCATCACTTGCCCCAGACTGAGAGTTCCTATCTATACCTCTATCATGTCATTTTGGTGTCTCTTGAAAGGTCCTCCCTGGGGATTAATAACAGAATGACAAGAAGTGATGGGGGAGTTCTGGAAAGAAGCCACTTTTACTTTGTGAAAAGAAACAGAGAGACCACAGCAAGAAAGGATAATAAGTGCAGAAGTTTTAGTTAAAAGGTATTTTTTTATTGTTAGTCACTGTAAGAGTACGAAAACAAAATGAACACAAGTGTTTGTTTGTTTTTAATGTCATATCTGGCCAGAGTTCTCACAAGAAAGGATAATAAGTGCAAAATTTTTAGTTAAAAGGTATTTTTTTTAATTGTTAGTCACTGTAAGAGTACAAAAACAAAATGAATGCAGTTGTTTGTTTTTTTAATGTCATATCTGGCCAGAGTTCTCCTGCTAGGTTGACATTTGACCACCATTATGGGAAACAGTAAAGATGTGGCTGCACAGAAAATCACCTATTTAAGAACATAAGAACATAAGAGATGCCAATGTTGGATCAGGCCAAAGGCCCATCCAGTCCAACACTCTGTCACACAGTGGTCAGAAATACCAGTGCCATCAGGAGGTCCAGCAGTGGGGCCAGGACATTAGAAGCCATCCCACTGTTAACCCCCCCCCCAAGCACCAAGATGACAGAGCATCACTCGCCCCAGAGTCCCTATCTAT